CCCCCCCCAAACCCCCTCCCCCTCCCCCCCCAAAAGCCTCTCCCCCTGCCCCGCTGCACAAGCCCCTTCCCCTACTCCTCCCCACAAGCCCCTTCCCCTTCCCCTCCGCTTCCCCTGCTGCACAAGCCCGTTCCTCTCCCCCTCCCCACAAGCCCCTTCTCTACCTTCTGCCTTCCACGTTGCGGGGCCGGAGTCTGTGCTCAGGCCCCAGAGTCTGAACCCAGAGGCAGCCACGCAACGTGCCTCCGAGGAGTTTTAAAATCCCGAGCGTGACATGACGTCACGCCCGGGCCCTGCCCACCTGCAACGCCGCACATGGCAGCAGCAGGCGGCAAGGGGGAACTGCGCACGGCAGGGATGGTCCGGGCCCGAAGGGGACGCTCTGAAGGTGGGGTGGGAGAATGTATGAGTGGTCCAGGGTCCGGTGCCCGCTCCAGGCAGAGCCAGGGGAGAGACCCAGCTCCACATATTAGTGGAGCAGGGCCCCCAGCTCTGAATTGTAACGCTGGCACTTCTGGGTTCAGGGGCGCAGGGCCCCCTCAGGCACGGGGCCCGATTTGACTAAATCGGTCGAATCGGCCTAAGGCCGGCCCTGCAAGCAACACCATCACAGGACTTAACTACATAAGCGACACCGCCAGGGGCTCATCCACTGGCACATCGAACAACATGACATATGTCATCAAATGCCAGCAATGCCTCTCTACCATGTGTACTGGCCAAACCAGACAGTCTCTGTGCCAAAGGATAAATGGACACAAATCAGACATCAGGAATGGTAACATACAAACCTGTAGAGAAACACTTTAACCTCCCAGGACATTCAGTAATGGATTTGAAAGTAGCCACCCTTCTACAAAATAATTTCAAAACCCGATTACGAGAGAGACAACTGAACTGGAATTCATTTGCAAATTCAATACTATCAACTTAGGACTGAATAAGGATCTTAACTGTTAATGCATTACAAAGGCAATTTCCCCTCTCTTGATAGCCACATTTCCACAGCTACTGTGAATGAGCCACTTTCACGCTAACTGGATTAACTTCATTTGTATAAGTACCCTCTTTCTTTTGTTCTCTCTCTCTCTGTATATATCTATACATCCCTGCCTCTGTAAACTCCACTCCAATTCATCTAATGAAGTGGGTTTTACCCATGAAAGCTTATGCCCTAATGCATCTGTTAGATCTGTAAGGTGCCACAGGACTCCTTGTCATTTTTTGCAGCTACAGACTAACATTGCTACCCCTCTGAGACTTATAACAGGAGAGGGGAGATAAAAAGAGCGGATATTTAGATCAAAATGGGACATCTGCTCTAGCTCAGCCATAACCTCTGCAGGATGCATTCCTTCGTGATGCAGGAATAACTGGGTGAGGGTCTTAAGCCTTAAAATCCATCAAACAATAAAAGGGGAACAGATGAGTGAAACACAAGGATTGGGCCCTTTTAGAACAACAACTTGTGTCTCCTCCAAGAGAACTGTGTTGAGAAAGGAGATGACTTTTTTAAAAAAGAGAACAAAAAGATATATGATAAAGATACAGATAAAGATAAAGATACAGAGGCAGCAAGAAGAGGGGGAATGCAAGTAGTCAGCTGACTACTCTTTTACATTCCTATTCTGCACTTGTGGCTATCATTCCCCAGCCTGTGCAGAGGAGCATTCGTTAGTTCTGCTACATTTAGATGAATTACTCTAGCCAGAAGAACACATTTTTGGAACTCCTAAGCATAATTTCCACACATAAAATGGAACCAATGTCTTTGGGCCCGATTGCCCTTGCACTACTCCACTTCTGCAAGCAAGGGCTTTGAGATCCATGAAGTTACATGGGTGTCAATATGCAGTAACGTGGTGGGGAGCCTGGCTCTATATTTGCTATTGAAGGTTTTAAAAGAATTTGCTTTAGAACGTAAAACGTCACAGACTCTCCAGTCCTGTGCTACCTAATAGTGGCTACACAGATATGCACTCAGGGAGGTCAAATCCAGTTTTTCTCACCCTCTCAAGCAGACCCAGTGAGCAAGAAAACCCATTCTAGTGTACAACTAAGCTTTGCATCAGGGCCATGGGAGGAGAGAGCCTTAGGGTACGTCTAGACTACATGCCTCTGGAGACAGAGGCATGTAGATTAGGCTACCCGACAGAGTAAAATGAAGCGGCGATTTAAATAATCGCAGCTTCATTTAAATTTACATGGCTGCCGCGTTGAGCCGACAAACAGCTGATCAGCTGTTTGTCGGCTCAACGCGGCAGCCATGTAAATTTAAATGAAACGGCGATTATTTAAATCGCCGCTTCATTTTACTCTGTCGGGTAGCCTAATCTACATGCCTCTGTCGCCAGAGGCATGTAGTCTAGACGTACCCATAGTGGAAGCAGCCAGGTGCATGGAAAGCTTTGTTTGCTGTATAAGATGGCTACATGTAGGCCAGCACAGAGGGCTGCAATGCATACAGGTTGGAAGACAGTCCACAGGATGCCCATTTATATGCATCCAGTGTCTGTCATGCCTCATGTAAATGATGTGGAGCCTGCAGTTCAGGTGTGCGTGTGCACGCATGCAGGGCTGTTTGTCTGTATGAAAGGTACAGAGCCTGGCTCTGGTTAGGTCAGGTGGATTTCACCGCAACAACTTCTTTTCCCTCTTTCTCTCCGCTCTAGAACCTGACTACTTGGGCTGTGCATAGGTAAAATGCTCTTCACTCTGAGAGAATGCACTGAGAGAGGTTTGGCATCAGTATTACTAACAGTACATACAAACCCTTCATCGGTCCTAGACAACACACCATTCAGCCATTATCTTCTTAACTCAAATCACCATATTTAAGCAGCAGATTAAACCAATTAAGTAAGTATGAAAACTCACAACCAGTGATTGCTTTATCTTTTCTATCAAAGCCACTGAACAACAAAATAATGCAGCAGACAGCAGCATAAATAGGAGCTAAGAGTCAACACATCACTCAGCCCTAGAGAGATGTCCTTTTATTGAGAGGAACTGAGTGTAGAGTTGACTCTAGAGAGGTTTCTGTTTTCTGTTAAAGTAGTTTTTACCACAGAACAGTGACAAGGAAAGGGGCTGGCTAAGTGTTACTATTTTGCAAGCAGCAGCTAGGCAAATCCATCATGTCCATTAAAAAGGAGAGCCTGACTCTGGCAGGGAATAGGCAAAGCACTTTAATGATCTCTTTATAAGCTGAAAATTGCTTGCTATGCTTGATTGCAGGCCTGGTGAGTTTTGCATCACTGCTGTTCACTCATGCCACTATATGTCAACTCTTCATGGAAATCTCCAGGCCGACATCTTTGAATAGCTCCCAGGCTGCCAGCTCTATAGTTTGCCTATCAAATCACCACTTTGGTCTGTCTGTTTACAGGTTAGTAAAGTGAATTCCATAATCATACTAACAAATCACTGACACCATCCAGCTTTACTTGGAGGTAGGGCCGGGACAGAAGTGTGGATGTGAGCACAGTCACTACTTCACAGAGAGCCTGCACCAGCCTATACCCCATTTCAATCTTGCTAGTATAGTGGGGCAAGGAACATTGCAATGCAAGACCTTAATAAAGGCTATTAGTAGATACCCTTGGATCCAGCATCAGCATTCATAACCCGTCTCCTTATGCACGGGGGGTTTGCCAGTTCATAACAATGCCCTTTGCATTACAAGATGCACCAACTACTTTCCAGAAACTGATGGACCGTTTGTTAAAACAGAACCTGTGCGGCAAACCATGATGTTTATATGGAGATATACCTATCTCATAGAACTGGAAGGGACCTTGAGAGGTCATCAAGTCCAGTCCCCTGCCCTCATGGCAGGCCCAAGTACCATCCCTTGGTTTTCAGGAAGGCTTGGAAGGAAGCTCTGCAGCTCTGAGCAGTGCTAATGCCAGGTGTGAGCATGGACCCAAACACACATGACTAAGGCCACAGAGAAATCAAATCTCTCCGGCATTTTTATGGATAGACGAGAAAGGCAATGACCCAGGCAGTGAGGAAGCTACATTTCCTACCAATAAGAAGACCAGATAAGTCTTTATAGGGCTTCCTCCATCTCACAAACAAGAACTGCCACTATCCCATTTTCAAAGCACCTTTTCAGAGAAGTACCCCGACTGAACACATACATAACACTTCATATTTTCTAAGCACTTTACAAACATCAATTTGTCTAAACTTATTGAGCTGACAAAGTCAAAGATGCAGCTTGTTGGATTTGATAGCAAATATCTCAGCAGACTTACCTAAGGCTTTTAGCTAGCAGAGATGGGAGACCTGCAAATGAGAAGACAAACTCTACATCCTTCTCTGAGGGCGGGAGGCGTCATATACATGGAGAGAAGCAGGATCCTAACAGCATGTGTTGACTGGGGGCCAGATGAAAGAAAACTGCATGGAAGCCAAAGCTGGGCAGATTTCTCAGTGACACAATGAAGCTGGAAACTGGAACGAAAAGTGAACTGAAGTGAGGTAGTCAGTAGGGCTACCCTCAAAAGTTGGCATTTTAGATTCTCCCACAAAATCATGACATTGGCTCAACAATCATGAGATTGTTATTTTTAAAGAATTAAACCGCATTCTTTGTATTCTGATTATTTTTTAAAATGAAGAGCCCTCCTACCTCCTCCTTGCGTGAGACAACTGCAGAGCAGCCAGCGATGGCAGAATTGTACTGGGGCAGGAGCTCTTTCATAAGCAGCACCTGGAGGGATGATCCAGGCCCTCATTGATAGTTCTGCACTACTCTCACCCCTTTAAGAATAAGATTGCTTTCTGGACATTTAAACATACTAAGCCAGGTTGGGGGCTCTGTTAGCCTTTCATCAATTTACACTGAGCCCCAGAGTCGCTCTCCTCCAGCCCTGCATCCGCCATGCCCATATAGCCCCACATCTGCTGCTCACTGCAGTTACTGTCCTACCAGGCCTGATGTGACAGGGGAGGAGGGAGGAGACTGACACAGTGCTCACAAAAGGGGAGGGAAGAGTGGAGCCATCCCGAGAAACTGGATTCTTTCTGCTCCCGTCTCCCCTCTTATTTGAAAATGGTGTCAGCTGCTCCCTCCCCTACCCAAAAGCATGTCTCTCTGTCAGCCTCCTGCTATAGCTATGATTGGCTGCCTCCTCCAACTTTCCCACCTCCAGGGAGAAAACAGCCAATCAGAGGGGAATTCTTAGAAGTTCCAAAACTTGCATGCAGGCTGAAGTTGTCAGATGGTGCAGGAGAGGCTGAGCTGGCAAGCCTATGTTCAGAATAATGCTGGCTCACCTGAATAGCTATGCTTGGAGACAGTCCCCAAAGGAGAGTCCTTAGTTCCCCCTCTTCCTTCCTTGGAGGCAGTGGCATCTCCCAGAGTCTAATCAGGGCTGCGTTTCATTAGGCCCATGTCTCAGGGCGTGGGCATTCTAGGGACATTTCCCTGCATGCAACATAAAGGTCAGCTGGAGGCAGCGGGGGTACTGAAGATCTTGTGCCTAAGGACCTGTAAGGTATAAATCTGGCCCTGGTTCTGATGGTCTGAGTAGGAGACTGATTCTGAGGCAACTTAAACGAGGGATCTTTTAAGTATAATGGGCTGACAATTGTGAAACTCCTCTCCTCTACATATCACACCAGCTAAGCAGGCTAGCTAAGCCGGCATCAGGATGGAAACTTCATGCCCCACATTAATTGTTTTTTCTTGCCTCACTGATTCAAGGTAACAGAAATTAGACACTGCACATCTACGTTCTGCTTTCAGCATATGTACTGAGACACAGCCATTAATTACGTTACCACACATTATTTCTGCCAGATCCTTGCCTCGTTTACTGTACAGGATGAATGGGTCACAATGAATGAAGCTAAAAAGTATGTAATGAAAGAGACAGGGATCCCTGGCTCATTCTGGGCCAGATTCTGTTTTCAATTACAACCATACAGGGCTGGCTGTAGGGACATGGCATTGTGGGTGCACCTGTATTTTGG